TATGATAAGATCCATGGAAAAAAAGAAAGACAAGAGTGGCAGAGACAGAGAGATAGAGAGATAGGCACTGGAGCCAGAATATTCAGTTCAAATGAGTCAAGGTTTTAGTTCTCAACCCCTAAGCTAGAGTTTCTCATATATCAGTGGTGCAATTCAGAGGCTTTTAACCAATCGTTAAAGAAATGGAGTGGGATGGACTAGAATAGACTGGGAAATAGCCAGTGTCACACAGAGTGAGGGAGGAGAGACAAGGGTTTGTGGCACCCTTGTTCTGCTGTACTCTATGCAGCCTCTGTCCTGGGCCATGATGGACACAGGTGTTTCATAATTCAGGATGTGGGCAGAAAATGTTTCTGAGGCCCCACTGAGAACTGCACCCTTTTCTAACCTTACTTTAATGGACTGCGATCTCTAGTAAAAGAAGCATTGCTGTGAATTCCCCTCAAAATCCTGCCCCTCGCTTACAGCACACTCACGCCATCATCTTTGTCACTTTCTGCAACAGCTCTGAAGTTCTCTTTCCTGAGGGTCTTTATGAAGTGGGAAGAAAACACAGTGAATGATGCTGCTGAGTCCCATTCAGTGAAAAGGCAGCTCATGAAAACATGACACTGTGTCCTCATTCACCTTAGTTACCGGAAGAATACTTGTATGAAAAGATTAAGATTGTCTGGGCCATTGAAGTGCCCTGATGCAAGAGCATAACACCATATGTCAGCTGTGTGTGTGTGTGTGTGTGTGTGTGTGCGCGCGCGCATGCACATGAGCATGTGCGAAGACATCCCACTTTATCTCAGCAGAGCACCTGGTCCCAAATGCAACAAGGGAGTTGCTCCCCCAGTGGAAGTGAAGGTTCTAGGTAAGGAGAATTAAATGAAATTCAAAATGCTAAAGCCTAGCAAGCAGGAGGAAGCAATACATATTTAGAGACAGACAGGTGTCAGATCCTGCAGGGGTGGCAGAATCCTCTAAGACAAAAATATTAACCTTACAGAGACCTCAGTGTTTCAGTACATGCGTGTGGGGTGAAGAGTGCAGATGGCCCCCTCACTTTTATTTTTATCTCCATGTGAGAAGTGATAAGAGTCAGTGAGCTAGGAAATGCATGAAGGGGCCCAGGCTGCATGTGCCCCAAAGTAGAACAAGCAAGTTCCCCACAGACCCCTCTGCCCCTAAAGACATTTAATGTGGAACAGCTGGTAGACGTAAAACATCCAGGAGATAGGATTTTCAAATACAACTCAGTGCCTGCAGGTTACACGGGTGCCTTTGAACCTGAAGAATGGAGGAACTCATTGTGGGGGAGAGCAGGGAAAGAGAACACAAGGTAAGTGTGCCATTTCCTGGCTTCCCCCAAAAATGGTGCTCAGTAAAAAGAGTCAAATATTTACCTAGTGATATTTGTAGACTATTATTTGCCTTCCCAAATGTTTCTTCTTCAGAGGAAAAAAGAGTGTCTCCTATTTATTCAGATGTGTTATAATTTTGAGAGATGACGTGTACTATCTTACCTTCCTGTGTAATAATCTTTACAAGCAAAGTTTATCTTTTATTGAAAAATGCACTAAAAAAGATAATAATCACCACAACAATACAGCCATCCGAGACTCCAGTCATAGGTGATTATTAAGGCTGTGAATACTGACTATGTATCCCACAGTGTTCACTGTTTCTAGGAAGCTGTATGCCTGTCAGAAAGAAAGCCATCAACGAAAATAGAGACAAGACTCAAGTGCACAACACCTCTGAAAAGATAACTGAAGGACCTCGTCCTCATTTACATGCACTGGTTTAAAAAAGGTAGAACCATTCTCATTTTACTAAATTAGATTTTCAGGAGATACCTTACTAAAACAGGCCACAGCCCAGTGGGTGATGCACACATGCACCCTGGGAGGCTGAGGCAGGAGGACTGCTAGTTCAAGCACAGCCAGGGCAAAATAGTGAGACCCTGCCTCAAAATAAATAATAATAATAATAAATGGGTGGAGATGTAGGTCAGTGTGAAAGCCTTGCATTCAATCCCCAGTAATGTACATCCAGCTATCTAGTATTTTTTTCTGTTTGTGATTTTAAAATCCCTTCAGGTAGTTGGTTCTTGCTGACAAGGCACACACCCATTTTTCAGGAGTAAATACTGTTCCTCTAAGCAGCCCATAGCCTTTCTTTTTGCAGGGGAGGGGGTACCTGGAATCTAACTCAGCACTTCATGTTTGCTAGGCAGGCACTTGTGCCACTGGACTATATCCCCAGCCGCACCCATAACCTTTCAAACATGTTCTTAATTTTTATAGTTATGTTTATTTTTAAATTTATCTTAGTAAGCAAAAACGGAAAGAAAAAAGTGTGCCAGGTGGTCACTGAATTTTCTTTTCCTTTCCTTCTTCAAAACCTTACCAAATTCAGATAACATGAAACTCGCAGAGGTGGGGCCATGTCCCAAAATAGCAACAGGGCTCATCTTTTGTGAGAATTGTCTCTAGCTGCCAGTGCCAAGGGGACAGAATCTGGTTTAGGACACACCAGGCACCTGCAGGATGTTGTCTGGAAGACACATGAGATCTCTCTGTCCTTTTCAGCTCCCCTTTTGTTCAACTTTGTCTTTTCCAACACATGATCATCTTTCTTTGAACAGCAAAAATTACATGTGTTACTTGAAAGAGTGGATCTTTAACGTCTACTTCTTCCCAAATGATCGCAGCATTTTGAGAGGAGACCCCCGTTACGGTCCTCTACTTTGAGCCTCTTTTCTAAAGCTGAACAGGATTTCATCTACACAGCCACGGCCACACATCGACATGGAATTTGCCCAAGAACTTCAAATGTGTTCCCTGCTGGAGTATGAAATGGTAGGTGCCCTTAGACTTTGCACACGCAGAACGCAGCTGAGCTCAAACATTTCTCTCTCTCTCTCGCTTGCTCGCTCTGGAGCGTGGATTTGTCACACGTGCCTGGGGGAGGGGAGCGCAGATTCACTACTGGCTCCTCCCCTTCTCCGTGGTGTCCCCACAGCAGGGAAATGTGTGAAGTAAGAAAGAAAGCAGAGCTCTCCTCGCGCGAGGGAAGACGGATTTCACACACTGCCTGGGTTTTATGTCGCCAGTCTTTAGATCACCCAATGTGAAAGGCTACAAATTCTTTCCCTTCCCACGGCTCTAAATAAAATCAAATCCAATCCCAGAATTACGAAGATTTACGTTGGCTTGAATATTAGAAGCATTTGGAGAAGTTTTTTATTTTTTTAGGATGAATCCGGGAAGGGAATGAAATACAAGGATGGTACTTCAATTTTTTTTTTTTACTTTTTTTTTTTTTTTTTTTTTTTTTTTTTTTTTGCAAATGAGTATCTGTGAAAACCTGGTACCGTTTTATGTTCAAGTCCCCAAGGAAACAAAGCAAAAGTGAAGAAGAATTGTAGTGCTGCTCACAGAGAGGGCACCTGGAGAGAAGTGGGCTTGGGTAATTCTCCCCGCTCCGAGCAGCTGATTTTTCTTGTGCACACTTGTGGGCTGAGGAGCAGGATCGCAGGAACCACTCCAAGTCGCCTGCCCCCAGCGCTACGCAGGGCGATGAGGAAGACAGGGGCGACCACAGACCTTAAATGATCAGCGGCGGTTTTGTTTTTCCTTGCCCCGGAATAGCCCCGAACAGGTAACCGGGACCAAGAAGACACAAAGAAAAACGAGTTTTTCAGTAGCACAGCCAACTCGGCAGGGTAGGGGGCTATAGCTGGTCGTGCAGCCTCGCCGCGCAGCCCAGCCCACCTTTGTTCAGCCCTCCTCTTCCGCGCGCCGATCGGAAAGCTTTGGGCTGCAAACTCGAATGCACCTTCTTTCAGCTTTGCTTTCTGTCGTTGAGCTAAAATAGCAAGTGACCTAGAAGGCTAGCGAAGCTCGCAATTTCGAAATTTCAGGAGACTGCTGCGGAGGGCGTTGGTGACCCACAAAGGGGGAAGGGACAAAGGGGAAGGGAGGACTAGGAAGGAGATGGAGCCCGGTAGGGACGAGGGGAGGAGAGCGTGGAGCTGGGAAGAGCGAGACCTACAGGAGTAGCTCGCCGGGTGGGGGTGGGAATCCGAACCCCCGGGTCCCTGTCTGTCCAGATCAGAGGCGAGGACCCAGTACCGGCTGAACCCCCAGACCGTTACTCTGGGCGGGGCGCAAGACTGGGGCGCGGCGCAGCCAAAGCGCACAACAACGTAAACCAAACGCGTGCGTCCTGGGAAGGCAACCACGGAGAAAAGGGACAAAACAAAAGCAGAAACTAAAAAATAATAATAATAATAAATAATGCAAACGGGGGAAAGACGCCTTGCCAGCTTTACAAATGGATTTCTTTGCCTGCCTTGGAAAAAGAGACAAGAACACACCCACGTGTCCGCAGAAGGGGGCTGTGTTAAAGCGCCACCTTCCGCCGGCCCGGGGCGCAGCGGGCTGGGCGCGCTGGGAGCAGCCGAACGCCGGAGGAGCTGCCGAGCCCACCCGGGCAGGGCCAGGCAACCGCGGACCCTCACTCTCGGGGCGTCCTGTGTCCCAGTCTTGCGTAGGTCAGAGTGCGCGCCCTTGGAGAGGGGACCAGGAGCCACCTCGGCTGCCAGGGCCTAGCCTCCGGGGCACAAAGGGGCGTTGAGCCTCCCCGGGGACCTGATCCTCTTGTTGGCACCGGTACCAGCCTGATTCTCCCGGGGTCCGGTGCTGGGCGCCGCTGTTGAGCATCCCGGGGAGAGGCGCATCTGTGCGCACACGCGGATTTTTTTAAAAATAACACATTTCTAGACATTGCCTCCTCCCACCCTCCTCCCCGCCCCCATCTTTGCAAAGCAGCCCAGGGGGCGGGGCGCGAGGGAGGGACGCGGGGAGGGACCGGTGGGTTAATAAAGGAAAGTGGGCAGGGCCGACGACGCGCCATTGGCTGGCCGTGGGAGTGACGTCACCCATATGACACCCTGATAACGAGTTGAGAGAGAGCCCGCAACTTTTTGCAGAAGCAGCGCGCGCGTCTGGAAGTGCACTGCACCGGTCCGGCGCTTGGAGCCACGAGCCGGAGAGAAAGAGAAAGAGGGGTCCCGAGCTGTCTCCACCGCCCCACCGCTGTCGTCGTCACCATCGCCGCCGTCACCTCCTCTCCGGTCGTGGACTCAGCCCCCACCTCCAGCACGCGGCCGCAGCCGCTGTGCGCAGCCTGGAAAGGGGGGACGGGGGGAGGGGGGGCCGCCGCGGACCCCTGGAGCCGCGAGGACTTTGCAAGTTGCCCGGGAAGGTGGAGGGGCGGGAGGGGGAGGGGGATCAAGGCGCGACAGCCACGACAGCGAGCGGCCCGGGTTGGCGCGCCCAGCCCCGCAGCGGATCATGGTGCAGCAGGCGGAGAGCTTGGAAGCGGAGAGCAACCTGCCCCGGGAGGCGCTGGACACGGAGGAGGGAGAATTCATGGCTTGCAGCCCGGTGGCCCTGGACGAGAGCGACCCGGATTGGTGCAAGACGGCGTCGGGCCACATCAAGAGACCGATGAACGCCTTCATGGTGTGGTCCAAGATCGAGCGCAGGAAGATCATGGAGCAATCCCCGGACATGCACAACGCTGAGATCTCCAAGAGGCTGGGCAAGCGGTGGAAGATGCTGAAGGACAGCGAGAAGATCCCGTTCATCCGGGAGGCGGAGCGGCTGCGGCTCAAGCACATGGCTGACTACCCCGACTACAAGTACCGGCCCCGGAAAAAGCCCAAAATGGACCCCTCGGCCAAGCCCAGCGCCAGCCATAGCCCCGAGAAGAGCGCGGCGGGCGGCGGCGCAAACGGGGGCGCAAGCGGCGCGAGCGCAAGCGGCGCGGGCGCAAGCGGCTCGGGCGGCGCCAAGACCTCCAAGGGCTCCAGCAAGAAATGCGCCAAGCTCAAGGCCCCCGCGGCCTCCGGCGCCAAAGCGGGTACGGGCAAGGCCACCCAGCCCGGAGACTTCGGGGGCGCCGGCGACGATTATGCGCTGGGGAGCCTGCGCGCCAACTGCACAGGAGGAGGCGCAGGCGGCGGGGGCGCAGGGAAGTCGGTGAAGTGCGTGTTCCTGGACGAGGACGACGACGACGACGACGACGAAGACGAGCTGCAGATGCGCATCAAGCAGGAGGCGGACGAGGAGGACGAGGAGCCCGCGCACCATCAGCTCCTGCAGCCCCCCGGGCACCAGCAGCCGCCGCAGCTTCTGAGACGCTACAACGTCGCCAAAGTGCCCGCCAGCCCGACGCTGAGCAGCGCGGCAGAGTCCCCCGAGGGAGCCAGCCTGTACGACGAGGTGCGGGCGGGCGCGACCTCGGGCGCTGGAGGTGGCAGCCGTCTCTACTACAGCTTCAAGAACATCACCAAACAGCACCCGCCGCCGCTGGCGCAGCCCGCTCTGTCACCGGGGTCCTCGCGCTCCGTGTCCACCTCGTCTTCGTCCTCCAGCAGCAGCAGCGGTGGCAGCAGCAGCGCGGGCGACGACACCGACGACCTAATGTTCGACCTGAGCTTGAATTTCTCCCAAAGCGCGCACAGCGCCAGCGACCAGCAGCTGGGGGGCGGCGCGGCGGCCGGGAATCTGTCCTTGTCGCTGGTGGATAAGGATTTGGATTCGTTCAGCGAGGGCAGCCTGGGGTCCCACTTCGAGTTCCCCGACTACTGCACGCCGGAGCTGAGCGAGATGATCGCGGGGGACTGGCTGGAGGCGAACTTCTCCGACCTGGTGTTCACGTATTGAAAAATGGGGTCGTCCCCAAGCCCCCCGCTTCAGGCTCTTTCTCTCCAGAGCTGGGTTCCCTGGGAGGAGGTCGTAGCGGTCAGGATAAAGATAATGATGATGATGATGGTGATGATGATGATAGTTGGTGGTGGTTAAGAGGGCGGAGGGGAGAGAAAAGAAGATATTGATGCTTTTGCTAAGATGGGACGCAAAGAAATTGGAAAAGATGATTTTTTTTGGTGGAGCTAAAGTGAAATTAGTAGTTTTAAAATTTGTTCCTTTTTTTTTTTTTTTTTTTTTTGCCCGCTCCCCTTCCTTCTTTGATCGTATTCTCAAGATAGTTGCATACCTAGTCTGGAGTTATGACTTTTTTTCCCACACCCAACCCAAAAATGTGTTTTTGTAATTACTATTTCTTTTTCCTGAAATTCGTGATTGCAACAAAGGTTAGGGGGCGGGGCGGGGGAGGGGAGGCAGGACCCGCTCCGGAAAGGCGCTGTTTGAAGTGTTGGTGTTTGAAGTAGAAGACGTCTACCGTGATTCCCTTTGGCAGCACAACTGTTACCCTAGGGAGTTGGTGATTTTGTTTCTTAAGAGATCTTAAAGAACTGGGTTTGTTTTTTTTTTTTTAAGAAAAAAAATACAAGAACAAAAAAGGGACCATTGCAACTTTTTAAATTTTATTTTATTTTATTATTATGGGTTGTTTTTTTTTTTTTTTTTTTTTTTTGAGGGAGAAAACTGATGTCTTCTATGCATCCGATTCTTTAACAAAACTGCAGGGGGCTTGAAGAATGCAGACTGTACAAACGCTTACAAAAAAAAAAAAAAACTGTGAACTGACCTAAGATCAGAGTTTACTTTTCAGATCAAAATTGTTTATGGTTTTACAAATGTGATTTCTACTTGCCAACTTTTTTTTTTTGTAACTTGTTCCCTATACCTCTTTGATTGAATACCAGACAGCCTAAACCTCAGTACAAAGGTATTGAAACATTTTTGATACATAACAGACCTCAGTCTTTTTTAAAAATTAATATATTTTCAGGCGTATTTTTGTACAGTGAAAAGGGAACATTCTTGCTGTGTTTTTTCAGTAAGACTTTCAGGCACTTCTTTCCTTTTGATTTCTTTTATTTTCCTGGTTTTTTTTTTTTTCTTTTTTCTTTTTATTTTTAGCATGCTGTTGGTACGTTATATCCTGGTTTTAAAAAGGATTAAAATTTTAAAGTAATCCTTGCATCTAAAGGCCTTGTGGTTTAAAAAGAAAAGCAAACTTTTTTTTGTACAGCTATAGTAGAGATTTGTTCAATATTTGTAGGTAAAGATTTATTGAAAATGGTGATATAGACCTCAGAGCTGTTATCTTAGTTTAAAGATTGTATATGTACTGTACTATAGTAGGAATTTATGTATCTCATACGCTGTGATATGTGGATGGGGCCCCAGGTGGAAGGTTTGAAACTGGATTCTCGATTTTTAGCAAAAAAGAAAAAGGCACATAGTTTTTAAAAAGTTTCTCATTTTGTGCAATATAATCTAAATAAAGTACAGACCATCTGCATATTTTGTAGCAAATGGTGGCAAGGCAGACTCAATGCGCTGTCGATATCATTGCCTGGTTTTTTTGTTTTGTTTTGTTTTGATTTTGGGGTTTTTTTGTGCTGGAAGTCTGTATCTTGGTAATTTTAATAAATCAGCTGGGACTGATAAGAACTCGCATGGCCCATAGTCTCTCTGGAAGTCTATGGTGTGCTTTTGTCGCAGGGCATTCGGTGGCCTGACTGGTGCTCGGCCTCGGATGAGGGGTCGCCGGAGAGAGGCCAGACTTGCAGAGAGTTCAATTAGTAGAATTTCTTCCCGCTTCCTCCCGCTAGTTGTGCAAGACCGGGAAAAAGTGTTCTTTCTCTGCTTTCCTTTCCACCCCACCCCCATTTCCTTTCTCACCTCCTCCCTCCCTCCTCTCCACCCACCGGACGCGCAGGGCTCTGCTGCGGGTCGGGGACGCGCGGGCTTGGAAAGGCCCTGGTCACCGGGGCGCACGGTCGGGGTCCTGAGCTCGCTGGGGCTGTGAGTTCTAGCGCGGGTGCGGGGACCGATCGTGCTTCGCGGGGACTGCGGTCCTCGGGATCTTGGAAGGTGGAGACGGCCGTTTGGACTTTTGAATTTTTTTCCCTGCGTGTGCGCAGAGGTAGATGTTGGTGACGAACACCGCCACCGTTCTTGGCTTCTCGCGGTGACCAGGAAGAAGGGGGCGGACAGAGCACAGGTTGTTGACGTTGGTGGCCCTGGTGGGGGCTGAGGGATGGAAGACACGGCGGGTGGTAGCAGGCAACCTACGTTGCACGGCTTTGCCAGTGTGACGCTCTAGTCTACCAGAGGACTTGTGGGCTTCAGGGGGCGCCTGGGCTGGCCGCGAGTTGCAAGCGTGGAGCCTACGGACTGGCCTGGTTCTCCGGACCCCACCTTTGCGGGTGCCGTTGCTCCCCGCGCGGCGGGTGGGGAGAGGAGCTACCAGGTCTCGAGGCGGGAAGAAGAAAGCTGAGCCGGGGATGACGCGCCGCGGGCGCCAGCCCCACCCCCCCAGCCTCCCCAGGCGTGCTCCGGGTCTAGGGCGTCCTGGGTGCCCGGCCTCCTTGCTGGTGGGCCTCCAGGCAAGGTAGCTCTTGCATCTTGATGTCCTCCAGCTAGCTACCTCCTTGGAGCTCGGGGGTTAGCGGCGGCCACCCATCCCGCCCGCGCCCTGCTCCTTGAGGACGGTTGCTCAGCCAGTAGTACCCCACCCACCCACCCTTTTGTCCATACCTGACCCTGTCCCCAGCCCTTGAGCAGGGCCTGGCTGGCGAAACCGGGGGGAATCGCGCGCCCATCGAGGGGTTCCAAGCCTCCCCTCCCCTTTCCTCGGTTTCTTTGCCACGTTTATTCCCGGGGGGCGGGGGGCGGTGGCAGGCGGAGAGAGGCAGGGAGGCACTTAGGGCCCAGTGCGTCAGCCGCGGAGCTCAGCTCCCACGAGCGGCGGGTCCTACAATGCAGGAGGTTTGCAATGGCTAATTGAAACTCGGTGCAAAAATCATCATCTACTTTAGTGATTCAGGAAGATGGGCCCTTGCGTTTTTTACTGAGATTTAGCAAGATCCGAGGGAAGCCTCCGCGTGTTCACGGGAGCTTCTAGGCCAGAGGGACCCTGCGCCCTTCCCGCCTTCCCCACACCCTCGCGGGCCTCTCCTGAGCCCTCCTTCCCGGCCTCCCCGCCTCCCTCGGTGTAGGACGAGCCGTGCCCCAACCCCCACCCCGGGTCGCAAAGCCAGCCAGCCCTCTTTGCAGAGGACAGATTTTCTTCTTTGTGGCTCTCCTTCCTGTCGCTGAACCATCAGCTTGCAGGAGTACACTTGGGAAAGGCAAGCTTTCACGATGGGGTTAACAAGGTTCCCAATGTAGAACTGGATATTTAGAGTTGTTTACCTTAGTCTCCCCACTCCCCCAAGGATAGTCCTGTCATGGGTGGGACATTTATTTTAGCCACGAATTCTTCGACCAGCGGTTTACAATTAACTGACCATTACTTGTTGCTGGTGAATTTCCGTGGCAGGGCCCTGCTGCAGTTGTAAAACTTACTGAAAACACAAAGCCCATGGCTAAGGCTGATTCTATGTGTTCTGCAGATCTGAGGGCTTTGCATGTACTTTGCATTTTAAATCATGGCAGAATCTTGGACATTTTCTGTAATGAGGTAGAAAATTTAAGTCAGTTCATAACATGCCTTGATTTGGCCTGGATTTTATTATCATTATTTTTTAAAGCTATGTGGCCGAAATTCTCAATAGGAAAATAAGAGAGAAGTAGCTGGTTGGCGATCAAAATTGAAAATCTGCTAGAACTCAGGACAGGCACTTGAATGCCCTTTTAACAATATTTAAAGCTCTTTTGATGAATGCATTGTGAAAATCATTCTTAATGAATTCTTTATTGAATGTCTACAATATAATACACAAGGTATTCTTGCCACTGGATAGGCGTCAATAATAAAAGTTTAACTGCGTTTTTTTTTTTTTTTTTTTTGTCGCTTAAGTAAATCTTATTTTTAACTAAACATTGACAGAATATCTTAAAAATGGTAATGTGGGGGTGGGGTGGGCGTTGCTGGAAGCCCAGCCAGTTGGGTACCCTGCTGTTTGTAACTAGTTCACAGACTGAATACATTTTGGTGAGATTTCCATCCTTAAGAACTTGAACCAGCAACATCTTATTCATTCTTTAAGCTGTGGAAATAATTTCCAGTTCCTACACTCTGATATGCATCCTTTTTATTAAAAAATGCTAATAAAAGGCAGTGTACTTAACTGTGCTTTGCAAATATTATGTCTCTTTGGAATGACTATCATTGGGCAAATTATTTGTAGAATTATTATCCTTTAGCTAGAAAAAAAGAGTCATTGCAACTCCTGGGCCAGAGGTGTTTCTTTTTAATGTTAATCAAAGGGAAGGGATTTGAATATGCATGCTTGTAGCCATCAGGATGATTTAGTTGTTTTTTTGTGAGGAAAAAAAAAAAAGGCTCAAAAGGCAAGATTTATTTTTCTCTCTGGGAATTGAAAACCACCATCCTCTTGATACTGGGATAGTACAAGAAATGGACATTAGTTTTTTGTGTCCGAATTTAGATGACTTGCCCAAGGAATCTGAGAAATAAAGCAAATACCTTGCTCTATATTAAAGTAGTCATTCAGTATAAATATATTATATCACTCGTAACTTTTTTATTCTCTGATATGATTAATAGTATGTATATTCTTACTTTTTTCTCCTAACGGGCATATGTATCTTTGTGGACACTTCGGAGAGAGGGTTTTCTTCGACTCTCCCATTTATAGAATCTTTATGCTCTTTTTCCTGCAAGGTCTTCTGCTTTTAACAGATTTCTAAGGCAACTATATTTGTGCTTTTTTCTTATGTGGGAAGACCAGCGAAAATAGTTTACTGAGTTGTCGACTTTATCAGTAGATAAAAATAAAAAAAAAAACATTCTTTATTACAGTTTCAGGGAAACTTTTTTCAGGATATTTCTCAGTTATTCTAAGGGCCAAATTTTATAAAATTTCCATTAGGAATGTCAGTTTCAAAAACCCTTTGTATAGCCTACGGCCTGTGAGGATAACAGGAATGAGCCTTATGTATCGCATCACAAGAATCCAAGTTCCCAAA